TACCAGATGGCTAGGCCTCAGACTGACGAAGCCTCTTGGATGAGGGGCGAAACGTTTCTTTTTAACAAAAAAAACGAAGTCCAGATGACATGATTCAACCTTTTTTGTTATGTGAACCTTTGATTTCAGTATCTGGTGTGACCCCCTGTGCAGCAATAACTACTAAATGTTTCAGTAACTGTTGATCAGTCCTGGTCACCAGCCTGGAGGAATTTTAGTCCATTCCTCTACAGAACAGCTTCAACTCTGGATGTTGGTGGTTTCCTCACATCAACTGCTGCTTCAGGTCCTTCCACAACATCTGGATTGGATTAAAGTCAGAACTTTGACTTGGCCATTCCAAAACATGAACTTTATTCTTCTTGAACATTCTTTGGTAGAACCACTTGTGTGCCGAGGGTCATTGTGTTGCTGCATGACCCACCTTCTCTTCAGATTCAGTTCATGGACAGATGTTGTGACATTTTCCTTCAGAATTCTCTGATATGATTCAGAATTCATTGTTCCATCAATGATGGCAAGACGTCCTGGCCCAAAACAAAACGGACCCAAACAACCATCACCATGTTTCACAGATGGGATAAGGTTCTGATGCAGGAACTCAAGAGTTTTCATTTCTCCAAACAGAACCCTTTTCATTTAAACCACAAAGTTCTATTCTGGTCTCATTTGTTCACAAAACATTCTTCCAACAGTTTTCTGGCTCGTCCACATGATCTTTATCAAACTGCAGACGAGCAGCAATCTTATTTTTAGAGATCAGTGTCTTTCTCCTTCAACCCTGCCATGACCACCACTGTTGTTCAGAGTTCTCCTGATGGTGGACTCATGAACATTAATGTTAGTCAATGTCAGAGAAGCCTTCAGTTGTTAGAAGTTCATTCATTCAACCTTCATTTAGACAGATTAATCCCACTGAGCCTCAGGGACTCATTTACAAGAGACCCAAGTTACCCTGAGCTCCTTTGTGACCTCGCCGACTATTCCGCTCCTTGCTCTTGGGTTGATCTTTGTTGGTCCACCACTCCTGGGGAGGATAACAATGGTCCTGAATTTCCTCCATTTGTCCACAATCTGTCTGACTGTGGATTGGTGGAGTCCAAACTCTTTAGAGATGGTTTTGTAACTTTTCCAGCCTGATGAGCATCAACAACTCTTTTTCTGAGTTCCTCAGAAATCTCCTTTGTTCGTGCCATGATCCACTTCCACAAACATGTTGTGAAGATCAGACTTTGATATATCAAACAGCTGACCATCATCCTATTGATTGAAAACAACTGGCTCTAATTTCACCTTCATTTTAAGCGCTAATCCTGGAGGTTCACATACATTTACCACTCACAAATATGTAATATTGGATCATTTTCCTCAATAAATAAATGAACAAGTATAATATTTTTGTCTCATTTATTTAAATGCATTCTCTTTATCTACTTTTAGGATTTGTGTGACAATCTGAAGATGTTTTAGGTCATATTTATACAGAAATATAGAAAATGTACACAAACTTTCAAGCACCACTGTACTCAAGTCAAAAGTTGATGGAAATACTAAAATAGTATGTGACTCTTTTACAACAAGTCTTCACAGTAACATAGTTGTCCACTCCTTTATTCCTCAATGACATGGTTCAGAAGATAAATGGCATCTATAAAGGTGTAAGGCTTTCTGCTCACAAACTACAAAATGCTGCAGTTCGATTGCAAAACATGTAAATATGATTTACAATTATTCTTATTCATTAATTCATTCAACCTTTATTTATACAGGATCACAATTTATCTAAGAGCTTAGGCTACAATTTTTTTTTAATCCTATGAGGTAAATTAATGTTACAGCCTTTCAAATTGTTGAATTTAAATGTTCCTATTTGTCCAAACAGACTTTACTTCACTGAAGATAATACAGTTAACTTGTTCAATAAGTTATTCTTAATAATAAAAACGTGGCGTATAATATGCATTTAATAATAAGAGTATTTCTGAAACACTTTACTCATGGTCTCTGCAGGACGGATTAAATATATTTATAACCTTAACAGTTGACAACTTCCTTTTACTTTTTTTGATTATTTCCAGCAGGAAGTTAGTTCCAAGACATGACGTCAACGCTCGTTGTCGGTATCTACAACACGATAAACCGGATTTAGTAAATTAATCGGCACGAGCTGTGCTAACGTTGATTAGCCTAAATGCTACATCGTGAGAAGTTTGACAAGCGAACATGGGAAGGCTGTTAGTAGTCGGAAAAACCATATTCCGTTTACATTTAAAGAACCCTGAACAGAACCCGGTGTTAAACCAGGGGAGTGACAAGTGAAAATTAAAGCACGGAGCGGCTCACCATGATGAAGTCCGAGTCTTGTTCCGAACTGTCATTGTTCTGGCGAGAAGGGCAGGCCGTTGTTACATATAATCATACCGCACTTTACTCGTTTTGACATTATTAATAGTATATTTCACAAACATAATTACATCCTTACATGTCAGAAATTAAGCTAAGGATTACTGAAGAAGCATTGCTTCAAATAAATATAAATTTCATGGTCTATAAATGAGATTATAAATCAGGTTTTTTTTTTTTTGCCCTGTCCAATATGTGAAATATATTTATATTTCATATACAACACAGATTATTCTAGATATTAACATGTTTGTGGATATCTGGAGGTTAAAGTCTAATACAGACAAAAGAGCAAAGGGACAATTTGCCCTTGGATGAAGTAAACATTTCAGCTCATCTCTAAAGTTGCTCAACTTTAGAGATGAAAAGTTGACTGAATAGGACAGAATAAGTTTTGCTGTTGCAACAAGTTGAATGAGAATTCATCCTCCTTACACGCACATTTTATCTAAGATATTTACAGTTAAATATTCTTATATTTTATGTTGATAAAATATTAAACAACCCAACATGACTCTCACACACAGACACACACAATAGTCAATTATGAGCATTTCTAATACAAGAACTACAACTCTTGCAGCTTTAATATGGTAAAAAGTGTTTATGTCCACATTCTGTTGTATCATTTGTTCCATTCACATTTCATGTATTTACGCCAACATCTGATAAAACACTTGTGGCTCCTAAACCACAGTACAAGCTTCTTGAAGACACGTGCTGTTACTGCACTGTGACTAATTCACTCTCCCTGTGGAGAAATCTAAAGCCAAAGCTCTCAGTGGGTCAGAAAATTGACTGATTATGATTATTTTTGAACTTCCAATCTGCACAGAACAAATCCAAGAAAAAAAAAAGTGGATCAAGTACAACAAATGTACGCAGATATTCTCACCATCGTTCAGTTCAGAAATGAAGTGCGTTGCTAAAGGAAAACAAAGATGTAAATTGTGTTTATTCGACAATCGAATAAACATGACTGTTTCAATGTTATAAAGATCTGGTCTGAACTTTTTCACAGAATTAAAAAAAGGGCATGGAAGCATTTGCCCACTCTCCAAAGGCTTCTTCTTCAGGTGTGTCAGAATTTAAAACAAATAAACTGTTATTTTAGCTTAGCGTCCCATGGTTGGCATGGTAACAGCTGGACTTGTTAGCGTAGCATCCTCAGCTTTCCACTGCGACGTCACGGTCTTGATCTGAGTGTAGAACTGAATGCCCTGGTGGTGAACAAACAAGACATTTACCTGCAATCCAGCTTGTATATTTGAACAGTTAACATTCTGATTGTGTAATAATCAGAATTGTCGTGGTGATCTAAGAAAAAATAAGCTATGTTTGTTATTTTACCTGCTTGCCATAAAAGTTTGTATCTCCTCTGAATGATGCTCTGGAGCCGGTGAAGGAGAACATGGGGAGGGGGACGGGGATGGGTACATTCACACCAACCTGCAGAAGAAAAATCAATAGTGAGTGGAAAAACCAAAAGCATATGGCCTGAACAATTTGATTGGCTAAATTTCAGTTCAGCATCGGCAGCACTTCAGTGGGGGATACCGCAGGGGTCCATCTTCGGTCCCCTTCCCTTTTCTTTATACCTGCTGCCACTAGGTGCTATTTTCTGCAATCACAACATACCCTTTCATTTCTATGCCGATGACTGTCAAATTTACTTCCCCCTGAGGCACAGAGGCACACACTCTATTCAACCTCTTCTTGACTGTCTGGCTGACATCTGGGACTGGATGGCTTTAAACTTCTTAAGGTTCAACGAGAAGAAGTCTGAAGTCATCTTGTTCCATCCCAATGGCATGTCCATGAACCACGGCATTGACTTTTCCTCTCTAGCTCCGTTAGAGAAACAAAAAGTCACCAATTTGGGAGTGATAATGGACCCTTCCTTAAAACTTAACAGTCATGTAAACATGATTGTTAAATCCTGTTGTTTTTTTTTCAGCTGAGGCAGCTGTCTAACCTGAAGCCCATATTGTCCAAAAATAATCTTGAGACAGTGATCCATGCGTTCATAACATCCAGGCTGGATTACTGCAATGCGCTTCTGTTTGGAATCAATCAATCCTTCATTGCACGTCTACAACTGGTCCAAAATGCTGCAGCCCGATTTTTAACTGGTACAGGCCATAGAGCGCACATTACTCCAGTTTTGGCTTCCCTGCACTGGCTACCCATTCACCTTTGGATCCAGTTCAAAATACTCATGTATGTTTTTAAATCACTGAACAGTTCTGCCCCATCCTATCTCACTGAACTTCTGCAGCCATATATGTCCCACCGCGCTCTCCGTCGTCAGCAGACCAGATGCTCCTTTCAGTTCCAGAAACCTGTCATAAGCTCAGAGGTGACAGGGCTTTCTCTGTTGCAGGTCCAAGACTGTGGAATGAGTTGCCACTGCATGTCAGGCAGGCTCCCACACTCACAGTCTTTAAGTCTCACCTGAAAACCCACTTTTATTCCGTTGCCTTTGACATGGTTTGTTTTGATCCTGTCTGTAGTCAACAGTGTTGGCCATTTAGTTATTATCCACCGCTATTTGTATCTATATTTTTATTTTAAGTTTTCCTGTCCGCTGTGCTTGTTTGTTTCTTTTGTACAGCACTTTGGTTGGCCTTGTTACTGTTTTAAGTGCTCTATAAATAAACCGGTATGATATGGTAAATGATGGAAAGACAAAGTTTAACCATGATTAAGACTTTGAATATATAATAGTTTTCTGTATTACTGATGGGTAAAAAAAGATTTTGCAAGCTTAAGCTCAAGTTGCAAATATACTTAGAAGACGCAGAGATGTTGAGATAAAACAAGTATTTCAAATTTACACGTTTAATAAATTACTCCCTTAAATATTGGACTTTTCTCCATCAGGCGGACATGGCGTGGGTTTGTTCAGGCAGGAATTACGTTGTGCTGAAGTTCAAAACATGCTACATATGGTGGTTGTGTCGATAATAGCATGCTGTAACAGTGACAGAATGAATGTGTTTCAGTCTAAACTTGATATTTTTCTACCCCTAACAAAGTAGTTTAAATTATGAACTCACTAGGAAAATATGTTAGGCTGCTTTCAGGCACAGGCCTCCCTTTCAAAAGAGATCTGTGATCTCAGTGGGATTTGATTAAATAAAAAGGTAAATACTCTAATCTTTGTATTTAAATACTGACAACATTGGATTAATAAAACTTTTACCGGAGTAGTTAAATCCAGTTAAGTACAACTCTGCTCTAAATGTTATATCTTTTAAAGTTATTAATATTAATATTGTACTTTTTTTACTGGCCAGAACTGAAATGAATCAGAAAACTCATGTTTATGCTATGGAATAAAAACAACTAGTACTTGGCCCATTTAAAAAAACTTTTTAAACACTGGGAGGCTTTGATAACCAGGACAGCTGCTCAGCTGAGTTTTGTTCAGGGATGATGTTCACCGCTTGGCTGCATGTTTGGTTTGTACATCAATCCAGCAGTCTACACAAACGTTTATGCCATTATTAAAGCTGACACCTTCCAGACTGTAACAAATAACTCATCTGTAATTCATCCAGTCACTGAGTTCTGTCATTATTATGGTCATAAATCTGTATTCAAGGCTGTGCACATTATTTAGTTGTTCCTCTCAAATCGTACCCAACTCAGCCAGATTTGTAGCCACCCCCACGTTTATGATTTAATTTACTGAAGCACAGTCTTGAAATGACGAGTGGCAAATTTGGACCCACTTTTCAAAAATCAATTTATCATTGATGTGGCTTTTGAACCAGACGTGGTTTCTTGCAGATCACAGGTGTCAGAATACAGTTCTAGCACTCGAGACCAGGCTGTAAAGGGCCTTGTCAAAATAAGATGGGTTGGAGACGACTGTGACGATTTTTCAGATGTTCAAAGACAGAGCTTCTGCAACTCGCACATTAAAACTGACAACCCCTGCAAACATTTTGAGACACTTTGGAGACTCCTTTGCAAATGACATTCACCAACTAGTTCCCAACAGCCATAGCCCATTAAGATACTTCCTTTAAGTTACGGTGATCTAGACATTTTACCATTAAAGCTGTTCCTCCTTGAGTTTAGAAATAAACCCATATAAATGCACACAAGTTACGTTATAAAAACCGACTAAAGAGTAATTAATTTTCACAACACTTTTTTAAATTAGAAAATTTATGTCTCCAAGGTATATTTTAAATCCATATTTTTTAATATACCACCATGAGACTAGCAGTGTTTTAAAATAGGACCTTTTTACCATGCTACATAGATAAGAGCCCCACCTGGCCAACATCCACCTCGTGTGTGTATTTGCGTGCTGTGGCTCCGTTGGTGGTAAAGATGGCTGTGCCGTTGCCGTAGGGGTTTTTGTTGATTAAAGAGATGGCTTCATCTAAAGTGTTGACCTCCAGGACGACGAGCACAGGCCCAAAGATCTCCTCCGTGTAGCATTTCATGTTCGGCTAAAGAAGAAGAGAGGAACGATCAGACCACAGCTTTCTGCTGAAAAGAGGTGGAAATAAAAATCTACAACTCAGTGAGGCATTTTAACAAAAGCATACTGTACCGTGTTTTACTTTTATAGCACATAAAGAAAACTGCTTTGGATACATTTGTAACCCTTCCAACAACTTTCTATTTTAAGAAGCATGAAGTCTGACACTCGACACTCACAACCAGAAAGCCAGGTGGGTGGGGAGAGAGGACTGCATGCATTAGGTGGTTTTATTAGTCTGAAAATGATAGCTACATCCAAGAGGTCAGAAAAGTTTGACTTTTAGGCATAGGGCTTAAAAAATAAATCTCGACTTGTGACTTTATTGTTTTCCTCGAGTCTACTCTGCATATGCTTGTTTGTTTATCTGTCGTAAAAAGCAAATAAAAAAATCTCTCGAGATGGATTTTATTGAAATGCTCAGAAAGTAACCACTGGATGCATATCCACAATCGATTGCTTTTGGAGTCAATCTAATTAAAGATGGCTGCTGTAGCTAAGCGACCTTAGCAACACAAGAATATCTATAACACAGCCAATTTAAAATATACTGAGCTAAAATTTAATGTGATGGTAGCTGAAAGTCATCCCTAACTGCAGAAAGAAAACCTTTGCAGAGAGTAGTGAAGGCTGCACAGAAGTCTGTTGGAGTCAGTCTCCCCACCATCAGACATCTACATCTCCAGATGCAGGAAGAGGACCACCTGCATCATGAAGGACCCCACTCACCCAGCACACACACACACTTTTTGCCCTGCTCCCCTAAGGAAGGAGGTTAAGGAGCATTAAGTGTAGAATCACTAGACTGAGGAACAGCTTCTACCCTGAGGCTGTTAGACTCATGAATCTCTAACCAAAATAATCACTGTGAAAAATCACATCATGTTGCTGCTGATCGGTTTCATGTTGCTGCTGATCGGTTTCATGTTGCTGTGTTCATGCGTGCACATCTGCTCACACAGACTCATGTTCGTGCTGCTGTTCGGCATATTGTTTGTATGTTATGAGTGCTTAGTGTATATTTAGTTGATGTTTTTCTTAGTTCATATCTTAGATGTTATTACTGTTTTTTTTACATTTTATTGTTAGATGTAACTGGGACCCTGTGTACACAATTTCTCTCCACCACATGTACCACATGTGGTGCGAACGACAATAATCGCCGAATCTCTGAATCTAACTCATGCTTTAAGTGCTAGCTGATCGCATGAGATCTGTTAGCGACCATTTTATATTTGTTAACAAAATATCTTGAGCGATTGGACCGAGTTTAATAAAATACTACTAATAAAAAGTATTAAATGACAACGAATAGTTTTGGAGTCGCCCAAAATCAAGAAGGTTGTTACAACTAATCAACATCATTAACATTATCCAAAACAAAAATGGCTAAAACTTAGACAAATTTAAAATTCTGAGCTGAGAGTTATCCTAAACACAAACTTATGTGATGTGTGGATGAGATCGTGTGCAACATAATTTGCAAAGTTTGACTAAAAGAGCAACAACTTTGTCTCTTCTCATCATAAGACTTTCAAAGTTTAAAACCCTGCCATGAAATATGTCTCAGAAAATGTGATTCTTGGCACATGAAGAAGAAATGTATGCAGATCCACTGAAACAAGAGGAAAACACAGCATGGCCTTCATTTAAATTAGAATAAGATTCAAGAGACTGAACAGACTGGAAGATTAACTTCATCTGCAGAAACAAAATATTTTCCTCTTAGCAATATTTCCATTCCATTTGCAGAGCCTCCCCCTGGGACTTTAAGCCCGAGTAGAAAATTGCTCTTTTCTTCTATAAAGAGACTTCTGCAGACGTGGGAAATGGAGTGTGTCTATATTTCACCTTTTGTCTCACCTCAATTCAAATTTTCAGCTCACCGTAACATTGCTTAAAATAGTGGGTCCTACAAAGTTTCCATTTTCATATCCTTTGACGTGAACTTTTCTCCCGTCGAGCAGCAGCTTCGCGCCTTCGTCCACTCCGCTCTGGATCAAATGCTCCACCCTGGCCTTGGCTTCAGGGGAGATCAGGGGTCCCACATCAGACCCCGGCTGATCGCCTAAAGCACAAAATCACTTTAAGGAAAAGGTCTGCTGCATCACTTTGGATTTAAATGCTTCAAATTTTATCAATGACTTTAATTCTGTTGTCACGTTTCTTGGTCGTTACCTGCGTTAACGCGCAGTGACTTGGAGCGTTCCACCAGCTCTGGCATCCATTCACGAGACTCCCCAACAAAAATAGCGGTGGACAGAGCCATGCAGCGCTGGCCAGCTGCTCCAAAAGCAGCACCAACCAGCTGGTTGATCGTATTCTCTTTGTTGGCATCAGGCATCACCACACCGTGGTTCTTGGCTCCCTAAACACCGCAGTTTAGGACAACTTTTAACACACGAGCTGTCCTAGAGGACAATGAGCTTCCTAATGCAAGAGCTGCGCATTTATTTTGTTAAATGGAGCGGTCTGAGTGGTACCATGTTGGACTGGACCCTCTTTCCATTCTTGGAGCCCCGTTCATAGATGTACTCTCCTGCCTGGTTGGATCCAACGAAGCTGATGGCTTTGATGGCCGGATGGTCACAGATAAAGTTCACAGCTACACAAAAATACAAGGAAAAAAGTGTCTTTTATTTTAATTTGTTCAATGATTTGTAGTGAGGTTGTGTGACTTTAAGAACTGAGCCACACAAAACTTTTTTTTCCCCATCTACAGGGTTACACATCGTGATAAATAAGTTTACAGCAGTCCCTCGTTTATCACGGGGTTTTCCGTTCTCAGTCCACCCGCAATAAGTGAAAAACCGCAAAGCAGGAATAATAGTACAAGTTGTAGTTTATTTTACCATTTATATTTTACTTTTTATTTAAAAAAAAAAAACAACACTATAATGCCACTTGATTGTTGAAATGTGCTGCCGATTATCTATGCTGCTGATCTCATGCTGCTGATTTATTTCATGTTGCTGTATTCATTCGTGCTCATCTGCTCACACAGACTCATGTTCGTGCTGTTGTTGCTTGGCGTATTGTTTTTGTACTATTAGTGCTTAGTATATTCTTAGTTTAGCGTACTTCTTAGTTCATATTTTACATCTTATTACTGTTTTTCTTTTACAATGTATACGTTTGTTGGATGTAACTGGAACCCTGTGTACAGTTTCTTTCCACCACATGTACCACATGAGATGTGAATGACAAAGAAAACTTTGACCATTGATGTGTATTGTAATTTGACATTCTTCAGAAAATTGTCATTTCGAATGACAGTTTCTGTTTCACACAAATCAGCTACGATCAAATCAATGTATAAAACTCTATTAAAGCCACAAAATGGTGAATAAAAAAACAGAAAAGCCACAACCACTATGCCTATAGGGAGATGAATAAACTAGATTTGTGACATTTATTCTTTTAGGCTCTTTTACAAATAAAAATTAAAAATTAAAAAAGTTAAATAATGGTTGTGTGGTGGAATAGCACTTGTAAATCTGTATTAGCCTCATCAACATAAATAAAGACGATGAAGCAACTCCATTAACTTCAACCGTTTAAAATCGAAGACAAAATGTTCATTTTTCTGAGTGCTGCCATGCAGTCTGCACACTGGGAGTGCTGGTTGGTACCATCGATACAAAAGTTCTGTCGACACTTTCACCCAATTAAAAGGCTATTACTTTGACAAGCAGCGTAACTTAACTTGTTTTTAAGCCTAAAATATCTAATTTAAACTAAATGTTTTTAAAATACCTATTCAAACACATCGCAGCAAGGTAAGAACTACAGGAATCAACAACAACCAACACCTGAAAATATTTAGTTGATTATTTTTTTGTCAAGAAAATGGCACATTTGTTTTCATGGAGGGGCAAGACTTGGAAACTGTACGACAGACAGCCTTCAGGGGGGTGATAGTCTTTTGTGGCTTCAACTTTCCTTTTAGGATCCTTTCTCTAATAACAATATTTGTCCATGATTAGGCCTGTCATGATAACAAATTTTGCTGGGCGATTAATCGTCTCAGAAATTATTGCGATAAACGATAATATTATTCGAAATTTGACAATAATTAGTAATTATTGTCAAATTAAAAAAAATGTTGGTTAATTTTATTTTGCATGTAGTACCTTTTTTGACCACTGGATGGCAGTATAAGAGTGTTTGAACCGAAGGATGGATAGTGAGGGAGCAAGCAACGTGTCTCTAAGAAAAATGGGAGGGAGGCCCCTTGACATGACATGGGCTGTCTCTTCTTTTTTTTTTCCGGTTCTCAAAATGGTGGATGCTCGGTTTGGTTTGAACTCTTTAGCATAGCATTTGTCAAAAAGCTTTTAATAAAAATAAAAAAAATTAAATCAGTAAACAAGTTCTCAGCTTCTTTTGCAGAGAAGAACAACTTTTTAGACGAAGGCACGTATTTCAACCGTGAATTTTGGAGCTTTGACAAGACGTAGGTTTTTTTTACCTGAAGGTCGGCCTGTTAGCTTAGCTCGTAGCTTAGCTTCTCAGCTTAGCTGCTTTTAACGAACCAAAAACCTGTTTTTGGATTGTTAAAACGGATTTTTAAAGAGAAAGAGAGAGGTCAGTGAAGAGCACCAGAGTTTAGCCTTTTGTCATCCAGTGTCTCCAGTAGAAAGAGAGAGACATGAAGAAATGATAAAGCGGATAAATGAAAATGAGGTCAGTAATTTTCATTTATCATGTGATTAATTGATTTATTGTTTATCGTGACAGGCCTAGATGATTAGCCTCTGTGGCTTCTCAGCAAGTAAATAAATAAATAAAAAAAACAATGTGTTGATGGCTAAAATGTTCAATTCAAAGCTGGATATGGAAGATGAGCCAAAATTTGACATCATGGGGGCCACATTAATCTCTTCTATGTAATAAGAGTGAAAAATATTCACCTTTCTGTGAGCAGTTTATATCCAGAAGCTCTGCATCTAAAACATCTGAAGGTTTATGGCAGTTCAAGCTGACACCGTGCTGTGTGGACTTTTACATTGACGTATTTACACTGAGAGCTACGTGGACTGGGTTCTTGTAACATGGTACGGGTGCAACACAACAGATTATGTAACACAAACCGCGAGCCATGCTGCAACATGGATGCTTTTCCTGGTAAGTTATACTCTATGATGCAAAATTGATGCAGTGTAAGAAAATCACAGCAAATCAAGGAATTTCTAAAAATGCTGTGCTCTGGTGGCCCAGTTTTGTTACTTTATTTAAGCTGAGAACATGCCGACTCCTGTCTACTGCACGCTGGTCACTTAAATAAAATAAAACTTATTTTCAATACATCTGAGATCACCCGACCTTAAATCCTTCTACTTCAAATGCCTCAGAACGACTTAAAAATTTGTTCTGGAAATCCCTACATTTGCTAATTAGTGAATCAAGTCATTCCTGGACCTACTCCCATTGTTTACCATAGATGAACACCATGTAAGCCTTAAAGAACAGGGGGTCACACTCACCTGCATGCTGCCCGTGGATAATATTGAGTGTACCATCTGGTGCCCCAGCATCCTGCAGCATTTTTGCCAAAAGCATGGTGCAGCCCGGGACGCGCTCAGAGGGCTTCATCAGGTACGTGTTGCCGCACACCATCGCGACGGGGAACATCCACAGGGGAATCATTGCAGGGAAGTTAAACGGGGCGATGCCGGCACAGACGCCGAGAGGGAGCCGGTAGGTGTGTGTGTCCATGTCCTTGGTGATGGAGGGTAAGGTTTCCCCGAGCATCAAGGATGTGATGCTGCAGGCGTGTTCAACCACCTCTGAAGGGGCGAGAGGAAGAAGCATGATCCATTTGATCAATAAAAAGTGCAGCAACAAAAAGATGAAATTAGCTCTGACTCCGGCTTCTATCAGTCGTCCTCATAACGGACCTAAAACCAGAATCTGTTTAAAGCCTGTCACTGGAGTCAAAAAAATAGCTTTTTGTCTTATTGGTATCCTCATGTGCAACCAAAGCCAGCTCAAATATTAGGACTAAAACAAATAAATGAATAAAAGCCTTGTCCCTGCCTACAACCTTTGCATATTCATGTGCAGATCTCTGTTTAAAGAGATTAACCCATCACCCTGTCCCTAATTATATTCATTAGAGATAATTAAGAAGGCTCATCCATGCCCATTAAAGCTCTGATAATAAAAAGTTAATGCCAGGGATAAAACCAAGCCTTGACACGAGAGGGATCATCAGCAAACCTGTGAAGGATCGAGTCCAATCACAAATCTGAAGAAAAAAGTGTTGACAAAACCCAAGAGCCACACATTTTTAATTTCCAAAAAGTAGGTGACATATATTGTAGTCCAAATGCTCGAGTGAATACACGTCTTTTTTCCATAAAGTCTCCAAATTCTAAATGATTTATGGTGAAGATGCATCAATTGATTATTAAAATAATGAGCGTGTTGTTTTTAATATATTTTGTCACAGGGCTTTTTTAAAATTTGCATGGTATTTGTTGTCATAAAGCAAACAAGTGCTTATATCGAGGAGCACTGCATAAATATTTATTTAATCAATAACAAAAGCAAAGCTTGTAAATTGATCTGCAATAACATAAATGTGGAAGTTGTGCTTTGGGAAAGCCGTTAGCCAAATTGTTGTTTGTACAACCTGAGACTTGTGCAAATCATTATGATGCTCTCGCTCATCTATCTATCTATCTATCTATATCTATATCTCTATATATATATATATATATATATATATATATATATATAATATATATATATATATATATATATATATATATACACACCAACACAACAAAAGAAGTCCCCTTTACTTGACTAATTTAGTAGTAATAGTACAAGTATTTAGTTTCAATCAAATAAACACCCTGCAGCCATTTAGGACCAGGAGATTCAGACATAGATTTTATAGTTTGGACTAGGACTGAACAATTAATTGCATTTGCAATAATATCACGATGAGATAAAACGAGATTTTCTAATCGCAAAGGCTGAAATTTCACTGGTCACGTGATCTGGTTACGTGACTTGCGAGTGAGCGGAGCAGGAGACGTCAACACTGCGCTTCAACCGGTTGCACAACGACGTCAGGCTCGACAGAAGTTGACACATCTGTAAGTTTGGTACCAAAGAGCGGCAGCACGTCCGTTGTTTGGAATTATTTTGGATATAAAAAAGAAGACGCTGTGTAACGATTGTGCAGAACCTGCCTTGCTGCTGTTGCTACCTCTCAAGGTAACACCACAAAGCCATTTATAATAGTTGCATGGCTACAATGCCAACGACCAGTGCTTCAACTTCAAGTTAGCAAAGTAGCAGCCGACAGGGATCACTGACCGAACTGTTCGAAGGTATTACTCTGTATGAACATGATTCAAAACTGCACGTGGAAATAACTTAAGCAATAACGGAGTTCATAGCAAAAGACATTCAGTTCAATTCAATTCAAAAATACTTTATTAATCCCAGAGGGAAATTATATGTTGTGGTAACTCGTCATTCTGGCATCCACGATGCCCATTAATATAGTGACCAAGACTGGGTTTACGGCTTTGGTAAACACAGTGGTTCAGGATGCACACGCTTTAGCCAAGTTGCTATTCCAGAGCTACGCAAAAATATGCAGAAACAGAGTTACAGCGGAGCTGAAAACAGTGGAGTTTTTTACAACTGAAACAGATTTATTGCCTGTGTTTGTTGAAAAATACATGAGAAGAAGAAAAATAATCGAATATTAAATAGCAATATTGAAGTAAAAAAAATTGCATTAAGAACATTTTCCAAAACTGTTCAGCGCTAGTTTCGACAGGAGAAGCTGAATTTTTGAGAACGAGCTGCAAAAAAAAAAAAAAAACTTGTTCTTGTTTTTGTTGTTGGAACATGGAACTTAATTGGCTTAAAAAAATTAAATTAAAGTAATACATCTATAGAAAATACATCAGAATAATGATGGGGATTTTTTAAAATTATTATTTAAAAATTAAATAAACTGAGCAGTGGTGTGCATGTGTTCACCCCCTGCTGAAAGCTGAACCTCCTCAGGCTCAAATCTCCAACAGGTTTCCATCAAGAGTTACATCCATCTTCATTTTTACTGTGACAAGTTTCAAAGTCTCTACTATTAAACAACATCCACCTTAACATGATGCTGCCATGACCATGCTTCACAGTAGAGATGGAGCTCTGACCATGAGGTGGTCCACAGGACCACAGCACTTTCTCCCACGTTGGAGGAAGAAGCTCCGAACAGCCTGATTTATGTTTTAGCAATGACTTTTTCATGGTCACTCTTCCATGGAGTGCATCTTAGCAGTTTATCGTGTCCCTGCTATGGACAGATATTCTTATCTCTGCTCCATCAGGGTCATCTTTGGCCTCTGGGTTGCCTCTCTGATTATCTCTGTTCATGCCTGAACAGTAGATCTTACAGAACGGCTCTCTCTTGGCAGGTCTGCTGTGGTGGCATCATCTTTCCATTTTCTAATAATGAATTTATTGGTGCTCTGTGGGATGTTCGAGGTTCAGGATATTTTTGTAACCCCTGATCTCCACAACTTTGTCTCCGACCTGCGTGAAGAGTCACTTTGTCTTGGTGCAGTCTCTTGCTTGGTGGTAGTTGTTGTAACTGACTACAGCGGTGCTTGAAAGCTCGTGAACTATTTCTATATTTCTGCATAAATACGACTTAAAACATCATCCGATTTTCAAACAAGTCCTAAAAGTAGATCAAGAGAACCCAGTTAAACAAATGAGACAAAAATATTATACTTGGTCATTTATTTATTGAGGAAAACGATCCAATACTATAAGATTTGAGAGAGTGGTAAAAGTATGTGAACCTTTGCTTTCAGTATGTGGTGCCCCCCCCCGTCTTCTTTGTTCGTGCAATGATAAAGTTCCACAAACATGTTGTGAAGAACAGACTTTGATAGATCCTGTTCTTTAAATCAGACGGGGTGCACACTCACACCTGATCATCATCCCATTGATTGAAAACACCCGACTCTAATCTCACCTTCAAATTAACTACTAATCTTAGAGGTTCACATACTTTTGCCACTCACATTTAATATTGGATTATTTTCCTCAATAAATAAATGACCAAGTATAATATTTTTGTCTCATTTGTTTAACTGGGTTCTCTTTATCTACTTTTAATTGTGTGACAATCTGATGATGTTTTAGGCCATATTTATGCAGAAATATAAACAATTATAAAGTGTTCACAAACTTTCAATCACTACTGTATAAGGCTTCTGAAAAGTAAAGGTACCCCTGAAAATGCCTAAAAGCATACTAATTTAATTAGATGCTGTTCTTGAACCATTTGGAGTACTGTACATACAAAAGTTTGGTCTCTCTTTAAAAGTAACACAGAATTTTAAACATCAGCAGTCAAAATTATTATAACTATCTTATCTTTAGGTTTTAAAGTTGGTATACACAAAAAACATGTTTGTCCTTGCCTGGATTTTTTATTTTTTTTATTTATAATTCATGTTTCTGCAAGATATGGACTGGAAAATCAAAAGAGGCAGCAGAATCAAGTCTTGCCAGTTAAATTTGATAACAATAGCGCATTTGGAATCTCCAAATGGATCCAAATGTCAAAACGCTGTCATTTAAACCTCGTAGCAGAATTTACAAGACTCTGTATCCATCTGTAAGTCAAGAGAGCCTGTGGGCAGGTCTCTGCCATTTAGGACGTTTTAATTTAGAGCATTTTCTGTAGAATTGTTATTAATAAAAATCACTGTGGAAATCCAAATAAGTTTCAGATTGTTAAGCAACAAAACAGAAAAAAAAAATTTTTTTGGGG